CCATGCCTTTCAAGATTCCCTCAATCCCTTACCAGTTCCTTTGAACATATAATTCTTAGAGTTTTCCTAATCCAGATTTCAAAACTCTAAAACCACTCGTTTGTAGTTTTGCATCCTCCACCTGGCCCTAACTCTCAGTTTTTGGATCAGATCTATGATTTATTTATCTGATTCGGTGCTAAATACTGATATAGTCATTATAGTGGGGGATTTTAACATTCATGTTGACATTGAAAGTGATAAGACTCAATGTAGCCTTTAGTAATATCTTAGACTCAACTGGTTTTACTCAAAGAATACATAGCTCCACCCACCCCTGCCATCATGCATTAGACCTTGTGCTGACTTATGGAGTGTGAGAAAATAAAAGTATTTCCACGCAATCCAGTCCTCTCGGACCACTTTTTAATAACCTTTGAGTTAATTATAACCGAGTTCTCTAGGCATAAAAGTAAATTTCACTATAGTCTACTCTCCTATCTGACAACGCTGTTGCACGTTTTAAATTAATTGTTCCATCTTTACTGACTTCAGCAGCTCAGAGGAACGTAGCAGAGGGCAATATTTTCATTTCTAGCCCTTCACAAATTGATGATTTAGTTCATAATGTTACTTCTTTACATGTAGCATTAGAAAATGTTGCCCCTTTAAAAGAAGGTAATTAGGCACAGGAAGTTGGCTCCCTGGTTTAATTCTCATGTACGAACTTTAAAACAAATCTCTAGAAAATTGGAGAGAACATGGCGCTCTACGCACCAGGAGGAGTCCTACTTATCCTGGAAAAATAGTTTTGTGCTTAATAAAATAAGCTTTGACAAGCTAGAACCGCATATTTTCACCGCTAATCGAGGAGAATAAGAATAATATTTTCAGTACAGTTGCCAAACTTAAACAGAATCATAGCTCTGAACCATCTATTCCCTTAGCCCTCAGCAGCAACGACTTTATGGGATTTTTCATAAGTAAAATTAATTCTATTAGAAACAAAATCATTAGCATCCTCCCTAATGCAATTTCTTCTTCCTTAGTAAGTGAGGCAGCATCAGAGGTAACTATAGAACCTCATCTGTTTGAAATGTTTTGATCCAGTTGAGCTTTCAGAGTTAACAAAAATATTAGCTATCTAAATTTTAGGGATGCACCGATGGATCGGCATTTGATCGGCCGATAGCGCCCCTATCGGTTTTGATCGGAATTTTCAAAATAGATCAAAGCAAACCGATCAGGTAGGGTTGTCACGGTAACCAGTGTAGCGGTAAAACCCGGTAAAAAAAAAAGTTGACAATAATAATAACCGTCTTGTTTTTAAAAAAACTATATTATCTTGGTGGGTTTACTGTGGCTGCGGTGTAGGCGCGGTGACCCTTACCAGCCACGCCACCGTATCATCGGCTGAAGTTGCCGGCGGCACATGCACGCTTTGTTTACAACAAAACTTTCTTGAAGCTAAAGCTGAAATAATGGTCAAAGGAGGAGACGGCAGCGCTCAGGAGGACATTTATTATCCCTCAAAGAAGACAAAGTCGGAAGTACGGGCATATTTTAGATATTTGAAGAATGCCGAGGGAGTTTATAGAAGACGGATGGCTATCCTGTTTGCAGCACGAGCAGAAAAAGTGTCTGAAAGGCAGCAACGCTTCAAATCTCATGACACATCTGCGTGACCATCACCCACAACTCTGCAGTCAACGCAAGGCAAGCTAACGTTAGCGTTTTAGCTAAAATGCGTGATCCGAGGATTTGGGTTGAGGGAGAATGCAACGAGTCGCTATATAAAGCAGCCGCAGCGCCGCTACCTGCATATAAACTGTGTCACCGACACCGCCATGTTGAAATGATGCTATGCATTACGGGGCTCCCAGGGGCAGATAAGAGTTGGTCTCTCTCAGAGAATAATTATGAATTTAACAATGATTACTGCCTGATGACATTTTCCCACATCTGCAAAGCTCACTGGAAGGACACAAACCGAGGACAATATTTTATTTATTTATTTTTTAATCTTTTATTTTCATTTATTGACATTAAAATAAAAATACAGTCAGAACTAAATTGCTGCAAGCCAAAATGAAAAAGGGGACAGAAAGAAGAAAAACTTATGTTGTCTGCCCCTTCTCCTGATATACGGATTACTCAAGCAAGGGTAAAAAAAAAGTATCTGATTAGAAGGCTAATTGAGTACTGAGTAGGGCTGCTCGATTATGGCGAAAATAATAATCACGATTATGGTGACTGAAATTGAGATTACGATTATTTAGGACGATTTTTCAATTTATGTTGATTTTATTTGTTTTTATTCAGTCATAAAATTGCTCAGGGCACAATCAGGACAAAAATAAGAAACAAGATGATCACTAAAAGAACTCCTGATTCCCAGTATAAAAAGACCAATATATTTTTATAGCTCATAGTTTATGACCCAAGGGCTATAGACCTTGGTTTAACTCATTTAAGTCTAACCAGTACAGACCCAAATACCAATATCTTGCAAATACTGACAGCAAGAATTATACAGTGGCAACAAATACATGCAAATAAATTTATGTTCACAAAATGTTGCATAACATTTATTTAGTCGTGTCAAGGTGCTGTAGGAGAGTGCACTAGCACCGTGTCCTCAGAGAGATTAGTTATTATTTATCAGCGTGAGGAACTTATTTCTACATTATTTATAAACTATTTATTTACAAGTCCATCAGTTAATGTAATAATTGTCCCAACCACAGCTGCACCCCCACCCCCCAACCCGGTCTCACAGCAATCGGGGCAAACTGCACGTGTGTTTAGCGCGCCGCACACGCACATTCAGCCGTTTTTAGTGGCTCAGGAGTCCGCAGGTGCGGTGTGTGTGTCACTCACTCTGGTTACTCCAACAGGGAGCCGGCTCTGAGAGCTGTTTCTTTAGCGACCGACACATCACTACATCATTCCCTTTCCTAATGTCCTGAAGAACGGTCCGGAGTGTTTAGCTAACCTGCAGGAAATGTCGACGACAGTTATCCAGAAAGTAGCTAAGGCTTACCAGAGATGTTTCTCAGGTGTTCGCTAGGTACTTTTAAGTTAAAAAGTCAAGAAGGGGGTCTGAAAAGCTGCTAGAAATAGCGTCAAAGTCGCTAAGTTGGCAACACTGTGAGGAGCGCTTCATTTGCAACTCGGGGCAGCGCAGGCGGGAGGAGCAAATAATCGGCTTGTTTTGTTTTTATAATCGTTCAAAACTCAGATCGTAATCGTGATTAAAATTCGATTAATTGAGCAGCCCTAGTACTGAGTATCATCTGATCTAATATTTTTAAACGATGACATCAAATAGACATAAAATAAGAAGTTATGGGCAAATATTGGTATTTTAAAGACTAAAGGGAAAAAATGTAAACAAATAAACAACATAATTACAAAATAACACATTTTAGGCAAAATTTAGACACAAACTGAGGACAATGTTTCCTGACATACAGGGTTTATTAATTGTGTGAAAATGTAGCACGTTTAAAAAATATACCGCAATAATACCGAAAACCGTGGTAATTTTGGTCACAATAACCGTGAGGTTAAATTTTCACACCGTGACAACCCTAATACAGACCATTTTAGATTAGGTTACATTTCCTTTATTCCCAGATTATGTAGTTTGTAGCACTCATTATAATGTTGTAGAAAATTTCTGACCAATCCACGTGATCAGTATCGGTGATCAGCATTCTTTGATATCGGTATCGGTAGCAAAAAACCTGATCGGTGCATCCCTAGTAAATTTTCAACTTGTATTTTATATCTAATCCTAACCAAATTGTTTAGGGATGCATTTTCTTTGGTTACTGCCCCATTTTAAATATTATCACTCCTTAGTAAATGGATATGTACCACAGGATTTTAAGGTTGCCATTATCAAACCTTTACTTAATAAACCTTCTCTGGATCGGGATGACCTAATGAATTATCTAACCTTCCTTTTTATTTAAACTCCTTGAGAAAATAGTGACCCATCAAGTATGTGAGCATCTAAACACTAATGATCTATCTGAGGAATTTCAGTCTGGTTTAGGAGAGCATCACAGCATTAAAACAGCATTATTGAAAGTTACAAATGATATTCTCATGGCCTCAGATAAGAATCTTGTCTGTTCTGCTCTTGTTAGAACTCAGTGCTACTTTTAACACGGTCGACTGGTGTCGACAGATGTCTGCTTATACTGAGCCAGTGTCCTCCGGAGGTTTCTTACTGTTAAAAGGGAGTTTTCCTCTCCACTGTCGCTACATGCTTGCTTAGTATGAGGATTGCTGAAAAGACTGACACTAGTCAGTGACTTGATGCAATCTGCTGGGTTCCTTATATAGGAAACATTTTACTGATTGGAATGTTTACTGTGAAGTGCCTTGAGATGACTCGTCATGATTTGGCGCTATATAAATAAGCTCAATCGAAACTGAATTCCCTCACCTGTTGATTCTGCACCTTTTCATTTCAGTTATTTAGTTATACATTTACCTTTTCTAATTGTATAGTGCTCTTGTGCTCAACACTGAACTTCAGTGTTGTGCACAACATTGTACAACACTGAAAATCAGTGTTGTAATTCTAAAAATGTGACAACAGTTTGTTTTATTTTAGATTAAACAAGGGCTGAATGAGAAGTTAACTTTTCATTAGATGAAATAAAGACTTATTTAATTTGGGGCGAATGTTTTGCTACAGTTTGAACTTTCAAGGATTACTATGCTGTGGATGCCATTTTTCTTCTTATTGGTCCAACAAACTTCAGCCCTTATCTGGCCATTTGTTCCTTTTATTTTGAAAATGACATTTTAGCAATTGAATGTTTTTGAAAGATCATGGAATGAAGTGGATGGAGAGACTTGAAAAGTTTGATTTTGAGGGGAGGTGGTTAAATGAAAAAGGAACCCTTGTCTTCTAACCCCCTCTCCCACCCAGATTATCTACACACCCAACCGAAACATGCAAGAAACCTCTCCATCTATCAGACGGCTTTGTGAAGGCTCACCTTAATGTGGTTTTTGACAACATTGGTTCTCTGTAGTCTCTGGTCCTCCGGGATACCGATCTCCTCCCAAATGTCCTTCAGCTGGCACAGCGCTTTGTTCAGGCATGAAACAGCCTCTGCGGCGAGTATCTCGCTTTAAAGTTTAAAACAGTCAGCACGAACAAAGGTTAATTGTCGACATATGTAAAACAATATACGGTTTCGTTTATAAAAGAAGTTGGTATGACAATCCCACATTAACGCTGTCCCCTGGGCTGGACATCAGATAGTTATGTTTGTACATTTTCTAACCTTAATTACGTTCCGCGTAACCTTATTTTAACACTCACAACCCTCTGCATTACCAGTAGAAAGCTCCAGCCTTACCTCTTCCTCATTATTTAATCCCAATGCACTAGACAGTTTTAATAAGCCAACACTGAACGAACAAAACGTAAACCGTCTCGAGCTCGCTTCCAACCGTTTGTGCTAGGTTTAAAATATGAGTGTCGCAGCATTCTGCCTTCTGATTGGTTCGCTGTGCGGGTGCGCGTACTGAGTTATACCGGTAGGTTGCAAGGGGCGTTGTCCCTTCAAGAACCCGTAGCCGCCCATCTCTAAAAGATTACGCTACGCTTGTACATAAAATGAACACACTTGTTTTATGGAGGTGTGTCGTATTCTTCCTTAGGTAATTTTTATACAATGAACTCATAGTAAAGGGAACCTAACGACTACATTTGAATGAAATAAACACACTTTAAAAAACACATTTATTCGCTTTTTACATATTTTACAGCTCTGATTTGGTCGGAGAAAGACTAAACGGGTGCAAACATTAATACTGGGCATGTATGACAAGTGGTTTCAAGAATGTGTCACTTTCCAGTCCTTAGTAGTGCTGATGGGCTTCTTCATACATGGTCGTCCAGCAGAGCTTCAATCAGCCTTGAACTGTTTATAATCGAAGTTGTTACCACAATAAATTTATAACCTGAAACAAGACCAAACAGGTGTCTGAAAAACCACAATAATCTTTTTTGTATTTGTTCTACATAATTAATCCTCAACCAGAAGCAAGACTGAATGAATAATTCCACATTTACCTTTCTCTCTACCGAGAAAACGGAGGGCTGAAATCTCAGAGAAAGTGCATCCACCTAGGAACATGACCAGAACGACACGCTGAGCGTTGTTCTTGGGCTTTAAATCGGCCCCGCTACTGCCTGGTGGGAGACAGAAAGCATTTGGTGCTATGTGCTTCTTCAAATGAGATATTAATCAAGATTTTCTGTTGATCAAACCTGTAACAGCAAATTCATGCCCATTTAGCAGCCTGGTTACTTCCTCAAGACCCGTCCAACCATCTTTCTCTAACACCTATGTAAAATAGCAGACAAATACAATTTTACATTTTATTCTAATCATTTGTATCCGATATCTTAGATGAGTACAGATTACTGAATGACCTGTTCGATGAGTTTGCAGCTCAGAGGAACATAGGCACCACTGAAGACATAAGCCATGTCTCGAGGAACACGCAGGTCGTATTCTTCATCTGACTTTGGTACCTTCACAAAAAGTATGTTTGATAACATTCATCATATTGATTGTGAGCAGGACAAATCTAGAAAACTTTTATTTATTTGTTTTATATAATAAGTCCTCTTTGAAAGACTCTACCAGGTTGAGTCTTCTGCTCAAGGCTCTGAAATTGCCCTTCTTTGCCAGGGAAGAAAAAGCATCAGTCAGCTTTCCTGGAAAAAAGAAATTCAAATAAATAAACAAAACCAGCAGAAGAACTGCTACTATAAAAAAAATTCCAGTTAGAGGTGGGCAAAATACCAAAAATGTACCGATATCATAATGCATGTCTAGTTCCAACGTCATTTAGCCCAGGTCAATATGTTAGGTATTCGAAAAAAAAAATATGTGAGTAGTTTGTTGAAGTTCATGTTGCTTTAAGCTGCCGTGCTACAAACAGGATGGGCTAGAGTCCTGTGACTTTATGGTCCCTCTAACTGTCGTTGTACGGGTAGCTACCATTCACTTATCGTTATCGAGGTGAACTGCTCAATATATCGTGTTACAGATTTGAGGCATGGCTGAGTCCCGATTGTAGTTCTAAGCTGTTCCCAGTGGAGACAAGTTAGAAATCAAAAATGTATCAACTGCTGGGAACCCTGAAGGTGTTTTTGCAGAAAAAAATTCAAATAATAACACCTGAATCTGAATCCTCAAAGCCCCAGTGTGTAATATTTTTTATGGTTTACAGTCAAATTCTGTACATCCCATTAACAACCTTGTCCTGTTTCATCCTTATTTCTCACCAAGGTCTATTCTATTAGATCAAAATTTCCCATTGTTGTACACATAAACTGTAGTCTACCATAAGAATCTGTCATCAATATGACAGATATGGTAGCCGTTTAGGGACATACAAGAAAATGGGATGGCGACGTTTTTCTTCGTGGCAGCCCTGCTGGTTTGGGGAAATTCTGCCCCGTCGTCTTGGGTTGGTTGCACTGTTCCAACCACACACCCCTGCTTCCCTGCACTACCTCACTGTTCTCTCAACACATATTTAGATAGCATTTAGTAAGGATTACAAATTAAAGCTACAATAGCTAATCTGGAAAACAAGCTAACTTTAAAAAAAACTTTTCATGCCTCTTTACAATGTTCTAACATAGCATTTCCATAAATATACAGTGATCCCTCGCTACTTCGCGGCTCGTTTATCGCGGATTCACGACTTCACAGATTTTTTCTTTGGAGCCTTATTCAAGAGAAATTTGCTGATTTGCGTTATTTTTCACCGATTCGCGGTATTTTTCCATGCGAAATATCAAGAAATTCCTGTTTTTTTCATCAATTTCATCATAAAATGCACTTTTTGTAATAAAACTATAAAAAAACCAAATAAAAAATTTTTTTCTTGAGTTTTACCCACAAAAAAAGAATGTGATCATACGATAATTCAATATAGTACTGTACTGTAAATATGGTGTCCCTACTTTGTGGATTTTCACCTATCGCGGCCAGGTCTGGAACGCATCTACCGCGATAAACGAGGGATCACTGTATTGAGGAGATAACAAATAATTAATGTAGTGGTCATCTTGCATTTGTCTAAAAACCTACGCCAATAACACGGCTTGGACCACAACCGAGGATTGGACCATCCGGTTGTCTGTCTCACCAAACCGCCACACTTCTGTATTTACCTGGGTCCCCCATTCATTACACACTTGTGCATTTTACAACACAGCACCACTGGTGTGAAAGGTTTGCTGCTCAATAATGTCAGAGAAACGACAAACAGCTGGCTGCTACCACTTGAACTTTAGGACAAACTACCAGATTCACAAAAAAGAAAAACTCTATTTGAAGTCACGGACAACAAAAGACGTCTGGACGTAGAAAATGGCAACTTGTGTTTAGCGCTCCCTCGTTTCCTCTGGCAATACGAATTCCAGCAGACGTGGCCTAGCGATAATAGACAATGAGAGGGGTGAGTGTTCTGTGACTGTGTTTGCACAGTGAGTCGTGGAGGATGGCTGCTTATACTGAGCCGGGATTCTCTGGAGGTTTCTTCCTGTTAAAAGGGAGTTTTCCTCTCCACTGTTGCTTTATGCTTGTTTAGTATGAGGATTGCTGTATAGTCACTGACACTTGTCAGTGACTTGATGCAATTTGCTGGGTTCCTTATATAGGAAAAATTATTTCTGATTGGCCCAATGAACTGACCTGAATTGGAATTTTTATTATGTGAAGTGCCTTGAGACGACTCTTGTCGTGATTTGGCGCTATATAAATAAACTTGAATTGAATTGAAAAGCTAGCTTGTTTAAGAAATTTGCTATTGCAGCTTTAAACGAATGGACCTGATTGCTGGACTGTAAGCTAGAAGTCGTTGATGACATATTGCCCTTTTGGTGTGTGTGGGCTACCGTAGTTGCAATACCTACTTCAAAATAAGTGGCGCTAAAGAGTCAAAATTTTCCCACACACTAGGCCTTTAATGTTAGAACGTCTTAAAATATTGTAGGAACGAAGAAGACAATTAGAAAGTGGTAAATAAAAAAAGTGTTTTTTATGTGCTGCAGACCTAAGTCCCATTCAAGCACTCAAGTCAAGCTAACTTTAAAAATCAACAGTTTTAAAACTGTCTTCACTATGCTTTTAAATGTATGAAGCCATTGCCAGAGCAGGAGGTGGAACAAACCTGCAGTTTTGTCATTGACCAGTTTGCCCACTCTGCTTTCCATCACAGTGAGCGTCTCCCCTGGTTGCTGCTCCACCAGCAGTCCGAGCTGCTTCAGGTTAGAAAATGTGAGCAGATGGTCCACTCCGTAGCTCTGGTGATGAAGAAGAAAGTAAGAGATAAGAAAAGATAATCCTTTATTTTTCCCACAAGTGGAAATTTGCAGAAAGTGGACAGTACAGGTAAAAAGCGGCAAGAGTATAAAAACTATAGAATAAAAAACGACACCAAAAAGCGGCACACTGATTCAAGCAATCTAGAAAAACATAAATATATATGAGTGTGTTGAGGAATGTCAAGGTCCAAATATATATATTTAAACTTTGAACTTGAAAAATAGGTGCAAAAAAACCACTTAATTACCAAAAATACAACATTCAGTCAGAAAAAAATAATTAAATAGTGTTTTAATCACAGCAAACGTGTGCATATGTTCTTGAAGTGATGTTTCAAACGATGCAACAAATATTTGTGTCCACTTATGAAAAGGGTGTTCCCACCTGAAGATACTGTGCTTTCAACGACCGGAAATCTTTTGGCAAAAGTCCTGAGAGAAAACAGAGTCACGCCTTTCTTCATCCAGCAGGTTAATTTCACTTCATTTCTGGAATTGTGAGAGCCAATTTACCATTTTCTGTAGCAGACAAAAGACAAAGCAGCCGTAGACTTTCAATCATGGAGACCTACAGGAAAAAAACAGAAGAAAGTTAATGAAATATGTTAATCAGCAAGTTCTCATATTTAAACAGTTTACGTTTGATTAAAACCGAGATGAACAGGACCCACCTGTCTGTTGATGTGTTCCTCTATGTAAGAAATACATTCACGGATTTCAAATCCTTCAAGTAAAGCTGAGGAAACACAAACGTGTGTCAAAAACCATCTACAGAAACAACCGCGTCTTGCCGAGTGAACCTGGCAGTCTTGGTTCTAGATTAGACTCTTTTAGGGGGACATAATCATGACTTTACCCTTAAGGCCTGAACTTGTTTTCAATTATAAAAATATTTTTCACTTGTGGATTTTCTTTCAGGTACATGCAGTAGTTTGGTTGCATTTGGAGCACATGCAGGCTTGATGCGAATAGCGTTAAGGGGTTAAGTTAAGTTAGGTTAAGTGACAGCAGTAGCTCAGGAGGTAGAGCTGGTTGTCCAGTAATCGGAAGGTTGCAGGTTCGATCCCAGCTCTGTGCTGTTGTGAGACACTTAAGCCACCTTGCCTGCTGGTGCCTGGTGATGGTGCCAGCGCTCAGCAAGCTTCGCCTCAGTCAGTGCACCCCAGGGCAGCTGTGGCTGAATTGTAGCTCAGCGTGTGAATGGTGAGTGACTGATTGTGTTGTGAAGCACCTTGGGGGGTTGTACAACTCTAAGAAGATGCTATACAGGTGCTGGCCAGTAAATTAGAATATCATCAAAAGGTTGAAAATATTTCAGTAATTCCATTCAAAACGTGAAACTTGTACATTATATTCATGCAATGCACACAGACCAATGTATTTCCAATGTTCATTACATTTAAATTTGATATTCATAAGTGACAACTAATGAAAACTCCAAATTTGGTATCTCAAAAAATTAGAATATTCTGAAAAGGCTGAATATAGAAGACACCTGCTGCCACTCTAATCAGCTGATTTACTCAAAACACCTGCAAAGGCCTTTAAAAGGTCCCTCAGTCTTGTTTTGAAGGCACCACAATCATGGGGAAGACTTCTGACTTAACAGCTGTCCAAAAGACAATCATTGACACCTTGCACAAGGAGGGCAAGACACAAAAGGTGATTGCTAAAGAAGCTGGCTGTTCGCAGAGCTCTGTGTCCAAGCACATTAACAGACAGGCGAAGGGACGGAAAAAATGTGGTAGAAAAAAGTGTACAAGCTCTAGGGATAACCGCACCCTGCAGAGAATTGTGACGACAAACCCATTCAAAAATGTGGGGGAGATCCACAAAGAGTGGACTGCAGCTGGAGTCAGCGCTTCAAGAACCACCACGAGGAGACTCATGAAAGACATGGGATTCAGGTGTCGCATTCCGTGTGTCAAGCCACTCTTGAACATGAAACAGCGCAAGAAGCGTCTCGCCTGGGCCAAGGACAAAAAGGACTGGACTGATGCTGAGTGGTCCAAAGTTATGTTTTCTGATGAAAGCAAGTTCTGCATTTCCTTTGGAAATCAAGGACCCAGAGTCTGGAGGAAGAGCGGAGAAGCACAGAATCCACGTTGCATGAGGTCCAGTGTAAAGTTTCCACCGTCAGTGATGGTGTGGGGTGCCATGTCATCTGCCGGTGTTGGCCCACTCTGTTTCCTGAGGTCCAGGGTCAATGCAGCCGTCTACCAGGAAGTTTTAGAGCACTTCATGCTTCCTGCTGCTGACCAACTTTATGGGGATGCAGACTTCACCTTTCAACAGGACTTGGCACCTGCACACAGTGCCAAAACCACCAGCACCTGGTTCAAGGACCATGGTATCCCTGTCCTTGATTGGCCAGCAAACTCGCCTGACCTTAACCCCATAGAAAATCTATGGGGTATTGTGAAGCGGAGGATGCAATACGCTAGACCCAACAATGCAGAGGAGCTGAAGACGACTATCAGAGCAACCTGGGCTCTCATAACACCTGAGCAGTGCCACAGACTGATCGAGTCCATGCCACGCCGCATTACTGCAGTTATTGAGGCAAAAGGAGCCCCGACTAAGTATTGAGTGCTATACATGCACATTCTTTTCATGTTCATTCTTTTCAGTTGGCCAACATTAGAGAAACAAACATTTTTTCATTGGCCTTTAGAATATTCTAATTTTCTGAGATACCAGATTTGATGTTTTCATTGGTTGTCACCTATAAATATCAAAATTAAACATAATAAACATCGGAAATACATTGGTCTATGTGCATTGCATGAATATAATGTACAAGTTTCACGTTTTGAATGGAATTACTGAAATATTTTCAACCTTTTGATGATATTCTAATTTACTGGCCAGCACCTGTATAAATACAGGCCTTCTATAACAGCTCCATGGTCTATAAAAACATTTTCTTTACAGAAAATACCTCTCACATAAAGCAATTCCAGCAGTTTTATTACTGACAATTTCAGTATCTTCCAGAGTGAGTCGTTTCTGGGCTCTAACACCTTAAGAAAACAAGCTGTGGCTGGCCACGCCCACCTATCCTCCACTCAGGCTGCTCTATGCTAAAAAGCTCAGATAACCAGGAGGGAGTTTAGCAACTTCTCTCCTAGCAGCAGCTCTCTCTTGCACGTTTGTGATGTCACAATCAGGGACTTCTTCAAACAGCTTGTTTTAGGCACATAATTCCTAAAACCAAACCCAGACAGAAAATGGATGAATGGCTTTTTTCACATTTGGGAGCAGTAGGGACTCACATGGCAGCACTTAATGATGCAAAAGGTGAACTTTGCATAGCAAACATGTAAAACACACATCACCAATGTCCCCTTTAAAGTTAAAATCAAACTTTGGCTGCTTTTCCATTCATTTCCAGTCAGGTTCTTTGGATTTACAGTTTTCAGAGGAACTATTCTGTAAAGTCAATTAACCCTAACGACACAAGAAAGGCTCTAATACCTAATAACTAAGTACAGAATATTCTTACAGTGTTCTGTCTTCAACAGCTCCTGGAAGTCCTGCTTTGTTTTCTTCTTCATCATAGATTCACTGGCACCGATGTCTGAAAGAGAAAAAGGAGTTAAGCAGTGCAGCTTCAGTGTTTTTACTCAGAGCCGCACTAATCACTGATGTCTTACGTAGGCTGAGCAGCCGATGCTCCTGCTTCAGCCCTTTCAGCTCCTCTGACACAAACGCCTTCATCTGCTTTATGTCCATCCCCCGACGCTTCTGCAGGATGAGGTCAAACAAAACGTGTTTTCTGTGTCGGTCACATTAGGTACAGTGACCAGCATTTACTCACATCATACGCTGTCTGGAGGTTCCTGGCTTTCTGGCTGAGGAACCCAAAGACGTTGGAGAAGTGCTCGTTTCGGATTTCACTGAAAACCTGCGAGAAATTACAATTCCAGCTGACGCTGAAGGTAAAACCAGAAGCTCTGCAACAGACCTGTCAGCCCCTACCTTATCCTGGGAGTTCAGCATGACCTTTACACTTTTGTCTGACGAGGTCACATCAGGTCCAAACTCAACACAACCTGCAGAAACAAAACGCTGGGATGAGACATCTACCAAAGAAAATCTGCTAACAACACGGGCATGAAGTATGAAATTAGTTTTATTTCCTTAACCCTCCCACTGTCCTAATGGGTGTGACCCCGCGAGGAAAGTTGACCATTGAGCAGGATTGATGGTTTATCCCTTGAGGTCCACGTGGCAGGGGTGAGGTGGTGCTCACTCCTCACCCCTGCCACGTGGACCCAAGGGTAAACCAGCAATCCTGCTCAATGGTCAACTTTCCTCGCGGGGTCACACCCATTAGGACAGTGGGAGGGTTAATACATCTGGGGTTGGTTTGTTACAATAAAGACATTTTTTATTCATCTCTGATGGGCAAATGTTTTTATACAAATTATGGATTTGCATCAGAGAACGTGAACGTGTTCAAAAAATTAAAATTTACATATTGTACGTAAATAATTTTATTTTACTTGACAAGTGTAAAAACTTTGATCTGGCTTTCTTGCAAAAGTGATCAAGTTATGTTTGTACAGAAGTGCTTTAACTTTACTGAACTGGATAAAATCAGATTTTCACCATCATAACTCAGGTGAGGGAGCATCGATACCCACCGCATTTGATTCTGAATATGTCATCCACGAGTCCTTCGTACACAACTTGCGAGCAAAGAGGAGTGACAAAGTCCACGTCTAGGAAAAAAGAACAACATCAGGGTGAGAAGAAAGCAGAACTCAGCACTACAACCATGCTGAGGTGCCTACTTTTACCTCGATCAATCAGAAAAACATTCCCAATTTCTGCTTGGTGAGCTTTTTGTTCTCCCTCCTCTACCAGCTTCCTCCAACACTCGTATGTCATCTGGTGTCCAATAAACAGAACAAACGTCACAGAAACATCATCTCATTTAAACGCCAAACACCCCAGAGCAGAGCTGAAAGTCACACTAGTCTTTGGTGGTTGGATGATGTGAACCTTAGAGCAGCGTCCAATGCCATAGAGCTTTGAGAACGGGCCGTACAGGGAGTGAAGGAGGTGCAATGCACTCCCAGCTGTCCTCACCCATCGCTGGTCTCCAGCCTGGAAAATATACATTTTAGAAATGGCTTTACTTGCATGCTGAGTGAAAACAGATACTTAGAAAAAAAAAGTTTGGTTCATATCTTATGATGATCTTATGGTTCTTCTCTATAAGTTCCTCATATTTGCAATATATTTTGATTTCCCCTCACACTGATATTTTAGACACCTACATTTAAATGTATGGTACTACAGTAATTACTATCAGGATTAAGGCTAGCATGTTAGCAGTGGCTCTGGAGGGAGACCGGGTTGTACAGCAATCAGAAGGCTGCAGGTTTCAAAGAATGCTGCTGGGACATTTAACCCTCTCTGCCTGCTGGTTGGAGGGACCGGTGGCGCCTCTGTCAGTGCGTCCCAGGGCAGCTCTGGCTGCATTGTAGCTCATCACCCCCAGTGTGTGAACGGGTGGTTGACTGATTTTGTTGGGAAGCGCCTTGGGGGGTCGTAGAACCCCAAGAAGGCACTATACAGACCATTTACCAAGAAAGTTTTGTCCTTAAGCACTTGTTTACTATTTAGATATTACTGTGCCTCTTCAACATTAAAATACTAAAATCTCAGTAAAGAAAAAGATCAGAACTGGCAGCCAAACAAAATAAATGAAACATATTTTTAAACTTTTTTTTAATCTTTTTTATATTTAAAATTTTTTGTTCTTGTGAAGCACCTTGTGATGTTTATCTTGAGAGGTGCTATATAAACGATTGTTTTTGTTCGTTTTTTATGTTTGTCACCTATCAAAAAAAAACTACAACTATGAATTAAAACAGGTATTGACTGGTTGATTTCCACTCCACCCAGAATCAAACTTTACCAAAAAGTTGTCTCGTAAGAACTCTGGCAGCTCCAGACTGATAATATCATCATCAAGAGGAAGGAGGTAGAATGCCCACTCGTCTGACGTCACATCTGCAGGAAGGCAGAAATGATGTCAATGTTTTCATTCAAACACGTAACAAAAAACTAATCAAATAAAAACTCACCACCAAATATCCCCTGCTCCTCCAGTACAGCCTCACAAGCATAAAACTGGGCAGAAAAATGAGCAACAGCAAACAAAAACAAAACAATAAATATTTATTTATTCAGCCTGAACAAAATAGTATTTTATACTAACATAAATCTGGACTGCACTGGTTAGAATTTGGTTCAACTGAACTAACTTGATCATATTTAACTCATCATCTCAGTAACGTTTAAAGATGACTATTTATTGTGAATTTAGATGATAAAAACAAGTCAAAGTAAAATGACAAAGACCAGGGTTCTCATTTATCAAACACTGCGTAGAATCTTTACTAAAACTGTACTTAAGCTCAGCAAAAAATATGTACTTACGCCAAGCAGGTTTGTGATCTATCAAGCATGGAGTACGCGCAGCTGCACGCAATCTCCGCTTCATAAATCAGAAACTATCTAGAAAGGTTCTCAGCTACTTTTTAGTCACATCCCACCCTCACCACGCCCAGTTACTGCTATAAATAGTCAGTGCAAAGTGCCTTGTGGATCTCATGCATATACATAAGCCGGTGTCGGTACAGTATCTGCTCGGGTGCAAGATCGGCTCGGGGTCCTTAGACTGCCGATGACGTCAAAGTACGGCAAACCCACTCGGACAAAATACACTACACATCTATACTGTTGGAAAGAATTTAGCAGTTTCGTTATTAAAATAATGTTTCTTAAGACGTAAGTTTGTGTTTATAAAGGTATTTGTAAAATAAAACACTATTTTATTCATAATGTTGAACTCCTCTTTGAGCACGTCCCTTGAAGAATCATAGGTATTAGCAACACCTGTGAAATTGTATTTGCAGGAAAGAAGTGTGTCCCATTTATTGAAGTATTTTGTGTTTAGAGTTTTTGACGTCTTGTCCATGAGTAGTTCAGTTACGCTCATAGCTGCTAGCTAAAACTCTGGAGTTAAAAGTTTTCTGGCTTTACTAAAATACCTGTCTGTACTTATTTGATTGATGGTATTTTTACTTTCTATTAGACTCCAAATGTAATCATTTGGCACGTTTCTAATTCATTATTTGCAATAATGTAATCGGCGATATTAGCATTAGCATTCCTATGGGTTTTTCCATGTATATTAGCATTGCGCTAACCACTCGCTGCCAAATTGCAGCCTTTGAGATTAGAAATTCTCCTTTTGTTACATCGCAATTTAATTGCACATGCAGTTAATCGTTCAGCCCTAATATACATGCAGCTCTATGCTAAAAGTGTATTTTCAAAGAGGTAATGATGGATTTCTTTGTAAAAGTTGTCCATCTTTCCAATAGAAAGATTTGCCTGGACCAACGTAATGTGATAACAACGTAACGTGATTACGTAATTCCGTGAGGTTCATGTTCAGCCAATCAACTACTTAGACGTCATCGGCAGTCGACGGACCCCGAGCCGATCTTGCACCCGAGCAGATCCTGTACCGACACCGGCTGTTGCAGCATTTCGATCATGACCGCGGATCAAGGAAGCGCTATTTCACAAGCAGAAGTTGAGGTACTTGTGGGTGAGGTGGAGAAATGAAAGGAAGTGCTTTTGCAACGCAAATAAAAGAAAATCCACAGAGTGGCACAGCGTTGCTGAAGCCGTCAATGTTGTGAATTCTTCAGAGAGATCTGTGGCGGATGTAAAAAAAAAGATCCGATCAGGATCCGATCCGCAGACTCCCAGGTGAAAGTCACGCGCGCTAACTAGTCAGCCAAACAGAGATCTCCTCTGTCCAAGTAGCCAGGGCGCATGATCAATCTGGTCACAATGACAGGACACACACACTGTCACAGACGCATGACATTCTGTCTCAATCTGCCCCCCTGCTGATATTCTGCATTCCATATTCTGAGCTTCAGGCTGTGTGTGTGTGTGTGTGTGTGTGTGTGTGTGTGTGTGTGTGTGTGTGTGTGTGTGTGTGTGTGTGTGTGTGTGTGTGTGTGTGTGTGTGTGTGTGTGTGTGTGCGTGCGCATGTGTGTGTGTGTGTGTGTGCGCGTGTGTGCATGAGGGGGGTCTTGTTCTGCGTGAAAGCGAAGCAGTACAAGTGATAATGCTGCAGGATTTCATAATTTTATCCTTCTCAGCAGCAGCACTGCAGGTGCTCTCCATGTCCAACATGTGCGTAAGCCAGGCCCTTAGTCAACTTAAAGTTGCACACATTTTTCCACTAAGTTTTCTTTCAGAAATCCCAAAGTTTGCGTGGAAAGTTGCTTACGCAGTTTTCCGACCCCGTTTTGTGTGTAAGCAAGCTTTATAAATGAGGCTCCTGGTCTTGACAACAGCAGAGGATGACGTACCTTCTGGGGTGTGAAAATGATCTTGTATCTTTTAAATCTGCCAGCTGCCTTGTCAGCGTTAACTACATCTGAAACAGGAGCGTCAGAGTTATGAAACACCTGTTTCTGTATCTGAGAGAAAGTCCACATGAAAGAAGATGTTTATATATTTCCTGGTCTGAGGAGTCTTGATATCACACTTAGAATGAAGGCACTTCTTAAGGAAACATATAATCTTTCAAACAAATGTGCAACAGCTGAAGTGGATGATGGTTTAGAGCTTGTGATAGGTCAGTTTTATGATGTGGCTTTTTTTGGGAAGCGTATTAGATTGTTAGGCTGTTGAGATGTAAGAAAAACTATCCTTACCGCAAATCCACTTGACAGTTTGTATTCTTGGGCGAATCAGAAAACAAAGCCTGTGAAGAAATGTCATGTCACGATGTCAGAGGGTCCGACAGGATTAGTGACAGTACGCTACTCCATGCAGTGTTCATAAGAAGCAGCAAAACTCACTGATCAGAGGTGCTGATAACAGGTTTGTATTCCACTTTGTAGAGTTTGTCCACTTCGTGTTGCTACAAAGCAAATGACAAATGTCTTATGAAATACTGGAAACGCTAGTGTCTTAAATCAGAGGCAGGAAATAAGGTTTACCTTTAGTGTTGACACATTTGCGATCCGATCCAGCGGGCTCATTAAGTCTGCTTCAATAAAAAGGTCTTTCTTCCCTGGCAGCTGTGTGATGAAATAAGACACATGCCATAACAACAATCTGTTCTACACCAAACTAGAAAAACTTGTCAACAGAAAGTTCATCGCCTGATTCAATTATTTATAATACCAGAATTGCACATAACTTGATGGTAAGATCACAAAATTCTCTGACGCTATTGTTGGGATGTGGTCAGAGGTGTACCACCTTCAATGACTGTGACAGCTGTTACGTCAGCCCTATAAATCAGTCATTACACAGTTGTACTGATTTTTCCACTATAATAACAGACTGGAGTGCTTGTGAAAAAGGTTTCTGGTGTTTTTCTTGTCTAGCGTTTGTCTAAACCTGATGCTTTGTGGCAAACAGCTGATCTAAGCTAGGTACAGGTATATGCGCGTGTTTTCCTACCTGTTCCAATAGGTAGATGAGCTGATCTCTGACCAATCTCTTTAGCAGAGAGAAGTCTGGGAACTCCGGGGAGTCTCTCCTTGCACTGTGAGCCATTCTCAACCACAACAGGACACGTCATTCAGTCACTGGTGGCACAGAAATAAATACAGTTATAATGCAACAAAGATACGTCCCCAAATTTAAAAAAACCATAAAGCGTGACGATGAGTGTTCCGTTCTCTCCACTACCAGAGTTAGCTTGTAGGCTAAAAACACACAAATCATCTTTGCCTGCACATTGTAAACGAACAGCAAAATGCTGACGTTTGTATGAAATAATTCTGCACAAACTATTACATCATATTAATTTGACTAAAGCTGCATTTTTCTGAGTAAACAGATTAATATTATGTTTTTCTGTCGAAGCCTACCTGCTTCCGTAGCATAATAGTTCGTGCGATCAACTGTTTCCCACCGGACACAATAGAGTGAAGCAACACGCCCTTATCACTGACTTCAAACTTCAATTTATATGTCGTGCTTTTTAAACCCAAACCATCAACAAATCCAGCCTAAACAAGTTAATATTCTTCAACTGCATCTTAGTATTCTGAGGAATTAGCTTAACTCCCACAAAATAATTAACTGTTTTGGTATCGTTTCATCAACAGGAGGAGTCATCATAGCAATCCGGAATGGAAAAAAAACCTCCCTTAAATCAAGTATTCTTCATTCCAGACTCTAAGTCAAATTCACAGAAGTAGAAAAAACATTGTACAGATAAGATTATTATTGTTATTATTAGCTATTTTCAAGTTTTGGTTTTCAAAGACCCAAAAGTAAAATAAATTTTAGTGGGCGGAGCAGATTGTAAAACACGGAAATGACGTAACACCGATCTGAAACACCGCCGTGCTTGCTTCCCAAACACGTTTATGCAACCTCCCTTAATTTGATCAAACAGAACTGAACATGGATTCAGACGCAGCTTTGTTGTTGGAGGCTGCTGATTTTGCTGCGTTTAAACATCGCGATCAGAGACGCAAAGATACAAACTCAACCCCCTACATTAACCATCCCATCGGTAAGGAGAAAGCTCTGTGTGTGTGTGTGTGTGTGTGTGTGTGTGTGTGTGTGTGTGTGTGTGTGTGTGTGTGTGTGTGTGTGTGTGTGTGTGTGTGTGTGTGTGTGTGTGTGTGTGTGTGTGTGTGTGTGTGTGTGTGAATTGTAGATTTCATTTCATTACATTATTACGAACTAAGAGGGGAAATATTCCACATATAGCCCCACTAAGTTTTTTTAAACCAGTCGCTGCTGGTTTTAGTAAGGGTTCTACACCAAATGTTATAAATGAGGCACCTGGTGTCTAATTCCAGCACTCATGAGTGAGAGGACGACACATTGGACAGGTCTCCCGTCCATCACAGGGAAACACAGACAAATCATAAAAATAATGCACGTTTGTGTAGCATTTATTAGTCAGGGTCTTCAAAGCACATTACAGTCCAGTCATTCACGCTGATGGTAACATGTAGCCATGGCTGCTCTGGAGATGGTAAGTGGTCTGTATTTGTATAGTGCATTCTTAGGATTCAACAAACCCCCAAGGCACTTCACAACACAATCAGTCATTCACCCATTCACACACACCATGGTGGGGGATGAGCTGCAATGTAGCCACAGCTGCCCTGGGGCGTACTGACAGAGGCGAGGCCCTCCGATTACAGGCGCCACCGGTCCCTCCGTCCACCACCAGCAGGCGAGGAGGGTAAAATGTGTTGCCCAAGGACACAGTGACTGAACCAAATGGAGCCTGATGGTTCAGACCTGCAACCCACCGATTACAAGGCAAACTCCTAACCCTTACTAGTCGACTAACTAACCACCAGTCACACACTCACACACTTAGGGATAATTTACACTCTAAATTTTAGAGTGTTCAGTTAATACTATAATACTATACTATAATAATATTCTAAGATGACTATGCAGGATTATTTCATCCTAAGTAGTAGAAGAGTGGATCAGGGAGCCCGAGGCATTATCCTAGCACATGGATCAGTCACCGGACTTTTACCCCTTTGAGAATCTTTGGGATGTGCTGATGAAGGTTTTGTGTTGTGGTCTGACTCATCGATACAAGATCGTTACAAAACATTAATGCTACTGGGCATAAATCAATCCATATCATGTGTCACTTATTTTGTTGGGTACTACTTTTTGTCCGGTAGTCCATGTCATTGGCAATTATTATTAAATGAAATCCCAGCTTTGTGGATCAGCGGTGTTTATTAGTTCTTTCTGATGTCTTTGTCATTTAAGGAGTAGCGAGAATCCTCAGCCACGAAGGAGGAGTCACAGACATCAAGGTTTTACAGGTGTGTGGTGACTGTTACACACTCGGGACCAGTCTCCTGACACGCTGAGCTTTTTGTGCTGTCTGTCTCTGCAGGCTGCTTTGCTTCATGACACAGTGGAGGACACCGACACCACCCTTGAAGAACTTGAAGCAAAATTCGGGGAGGCCGTGGCTGGCATTGTCCGAGAAGTGACTGATGACAAAAGTCTACCGAAGCAGGAGAGGAAGCGTCTGCAGGTGGAGCACGCACCTCACTGCAGCCCACAAGCCAAGCTGGTGAAACTGGCGGATAAACTGTACAACCTCAGGGACCTGAACCGCTGCACGCCTGTGGGTCAGTACCTCGCTGTCCTATCAACACTTACAGACTGAAGCTAACGCTGTCCAGGTTGTCTCTTGTGTAGGAAACGGCAGACAGCAGTGTCTGTAAATGATGTTTTTCTACAAGGATGCAGAAAAGATTTGCACACACCCCATAAGTATGGAAGTTTTCTGGAATAAAACCAAACTTGAATTTGTGAAACAGCTTTTAAAACTTTTATTTAGAACACAGCAGATGTTTTATTTCACAGTTTTAACTCCTCAACCTTTTCGAGTTTAAAAAATCTGTGCAAATCAAAACTTTGATGCTGAAACACTAAAAACTGTTGGATATTACCCCTTCATCATCCAACTTTTTGCTGAATGCATGCAATGTATCTTTGCACAATAAGTAAATAAATATAAATCTCTGTGATTTTGAGTAGGTTTAAGATTTCTTCACCCGAGCAGTTAGAGTGCGTTACTGCCCTTATCCTTGTAATGCACTGTTTCTTGTTTAGCCACAGCTGTTTGCAGACCAGATGTAAATAGAAAAACTGCAGTTTCCTTTAGAGATTTTTTTGCTGATAATTTAGCTTATATGGGTTTGGTGGAATATCTTTTAAACTAAATTTGGACACCTAAACATGTTAATTTGTAGAAAGATTAGTGCTGGGAGTACTTCAAATTTTGCTGACTTTCAGAAAACTTACTAACTTACTGGTGTGCTGGAGCCACCATCAGGGATATGAAGAGACTGCAGTGTGTTGTACTCTCTGCTGAGAAGGTCATTGGCTGCAAACTCCTCTCTATACAGGACCTGTACTCCTTCAGGACATTGAGGCATATAGGTTGGATCACAGCTGACCCGTGTCACCCTGGACACAGTCTTTTTTGGGCCATTCCCATCTGTACCGGGTCGGCCCAGGCCGGGTAGCCCCAGTCGGCCCCAGCCTGGCCCGGTTGATTCCACACATCCTTGTCTTAAGCCCATGTGGGCTGATTCTACCCACCAATCAGAGGCTTGCTCTAATGGAAGGTGTGAATTTGCTGTCAGCAGTGGGTGTGTTGGCCTGAAGTAGACCCCCTCGAGAAGAGGGCTGAGAATGAGCCTTGGTTGGCCCGGAAAAATACCAGGCCACCCAGATATGTAAACAACCTACGCTACCCGGCCCAGGCCGACCCGATACAGATGGGAATGGCCCATTATACTCGCTCCCACCTAGCAGGAGGCTCTGATCCATTCAGACCAGAATCGCTAGCCACAAGAACAGTTTCTTCCCCTCCACGGTCGGACTCATGAATGCCAATCGTAGACCTGCCCACTGCAGTTGCTTTGTTTCAGTCACCTGACCCTGTGTTGTGTTATCACGTAAACTGATCTGCTCTGATCACTACCTACACTGACTTGTTTATTGTAGCTGCTTCTCTAATTATTGCCTCCCTAAATAATAGTGTTTATCATGTTGTCTACCTTTTGTTTGCCTGGCAGGCTGGAACACTGAGCGGGTCCAGGAGTACTTTGTTTGGGCCTCTGAGGTGGTGAAAGGCCTGAAAGGAACTAACTCTGCCCTGGAGGGGAAGCTGGAGGACTTGTTCAGAGAGGCATTCAACTCTGATGGCAAAGCCACACGTCTATACTGTTAAAATGACAACTCAAATGCACCTTTATGAGTGAGCTTCAGAAAAAAAAGAAAGAAGTGTGAATGTACTGTCTGCTGCACTGTCATTTGTATTATTGTCAAATTTTTAAAGTCATGCAAACCAGAACAGAAAATTAAAAGAATAAAAACATATGACATTTCTTTTATAAGTCTGGTTCATTGTCATCAAACCTTTCAAATAATTTTCACACAGACACAGTTTTTTTTTTAGATAAGTGAAGAGTTGCTTATTAGAAAGTCAGTCAGATTAGCCTTTTGTTTTTAAATAAACCATGATGCCAAAGTTACAAGCCAACCTCAGTCCATCCTATTACTCTGTTAAGGGTCAGGGCGTGCACTTATTTATTGTGCTAGTAAATTGAACTTGCCTGGAGCAGAAGAAATGTAGTTTGTTAAGCTGCCTGTCATTTTTGTAAAAAAAAAACGGAATGTTTGATGTTGGTTATATTTGTTAGGGTGAAATCGGGTTTCTGATCATAATGAAAAAAAGCTTTACTTGAAGGCCTATCATGCATGAAACATAAAAACCACCAAGGGGCGGTGATTTACAATTTACAATTTAATCGATTTTAATTAGCTTGATGGTCATTTAGAAAACACGTTTATAAAAATGCATAAATGTCAGTTTTGTAAAAACAATTTAATGTGAGACGCTTTCCTGTTCATTTGATTCTTGAGTTTTTGGTTTTTCTCTTCGGAACAAATGCACTTCCTGTCCGTTCGCGGAAGTTGTTCAACTTCCGGTTTTGAAACGAAGCAGCCAAGAGATTGTTGAGACTAAGCGCAACATCCTTTTATTTCACGTCCATAGTTTTGTGTTGTTGACCGGGCAGTCATGTCTAGTCACGAAAGCGTCAACATGAAGCTCCCACCGATCCAGTCCACGGCAGGAGCCGTGCCCATCCGGAATGAGAAAGGTGAATCGTGTTAGGGTTAGCTTCCATGCTAATGTAGCATCTGTTATGTAGCGTCAAAAAACGCGAGTTAAGTTTCTAAATAACTCATTCATTACTCAGCAAAACAAGCTGAAAAGCAATTTTGTGATGTTGTTTTTTTAAGAGAGTAAAATGTGTGTGTGTGGTGGGAGTAACAGTTTAAAATCTAGAAATGGAGGAACAACTGACAGTTTACATTTTTTTAAACAAGATTCAAGATCTTTGATGATCCAACACAAATGTTTATAAACAACTGGAAAAAATATATTTTAAATAGCTTTTCAACTTTTTTACGTGTTAGATAAGTCATCTGTTAAGTCCCTTAAAAGTATTCATGGGCTTTTGTAACGTCATTTATCTGTCTACCTAATAAGAGCTTGTCTGAGACATTAACTCGTTGTTTTAAGCTTACGTCTGAGTTTTGGGGTCATTTTATTACTCCCAAGGGCGAGGGGTATGCTGTATCTGTCTGATTTAATTTAAATAAATCTGCAACATATTGTTTTACGTTTTTTATGGTTGAGTGTTTTTTCCTGTTTAAATACTCTTGTACTAAGCTTGAGGAAGTGTATATAATCATGCCCTTTTCTGTACACAATGTAGGTGAGATCTCCATGGAGAAGGTGAAGGTGAAGAGGTATGTGTCAGGTAAACGTCCAGACTATGCCCCCATGGAGTCGTCAGATGAAGAGGAGGAGGAATTCAAGTTTGCTAAAAAGGGAGTGGAAATGGAGCTGGAGGTAGAGCAGCAGGAAGAAGATGTGAATGACCCACGTCTCAAACGTTTGCTCAATCGAACTTCTGAGGACGTGGAGGAGAGGTATCACTCAGTTTTTCTGATTAAACTCAAATTCTGTCAACATTTTGAGTCAAAATGTTTCCCGTTTGTTTGTGCTCAGGCTCGCAAGACACAGACAGATCGTAGAGCCTGAAGTTGTTGCTGAGAGCAGTGAGGACTCTGATGAAGGCACATGGCACCCTGAGCATCAGGAGAGCAGCGACGATGAAGAGGAGGAGGAGGAGGAAGAGGAGGAAGAAGTGGATGATGAGGTAGCAATTGTGCACCAAAAAAATAAAATCCTTTTAACTTTTTTTGTTGCATTTTGATCAAATTATTAATTTGCTCATCGTGCTTGTGACCAGGAAATTGAGAGGAGGCGAGCAATGATGCGCCAGCGTGCAATGGAGAGGAAAAATGAAGAGATGGAAGTGATGGAGGTGGAGGAGGAGGGGAAGTCAGGAGAGGAGTCTGAGTCGGAGTCAGAATATGAGGAGTACACAGACAGTGAGGATGAAGCAGAGCCGAGACTTAAGCCTGTTTTTATTCGCAAGTGAGAACTAAACTAAAAATGTTTCAATAAAAATTCCAGATTCAGAACGCTAGCTCAAATGTTTTTTTTTTTTTTTTGCACTGCAGAAAGGACAGAGTCACTGTGGCAGAGCGCGAAGCCGAGGAGCTGAAGCAGCGAGAGCTGGAGGCCGAGGCCAAGAGGCAGGCAGAGGATCGGCGGCGCTACACCCTCAAGATTGTTGAGGAGGAGGCTAAGAAGGAGTTTGAAGAGAACCGGCGCTCGCTGGCTGCACTGGAAGCTCTGGACACTGACGGGGAGAATGAAGAGGAGGAATATGAAGCCTGGAAGGTCCGAGAGCTGAAACGCATCAAGAGAGACCGAGAGGCCCGGGAAGCGTAAGTAAACTGCAGGATTCCAAAGGATTTATGGTGAAAGAGTGATGCAGTTCTCTTCAGGACGGTCATTTGTGGTGTTTTGTTGTCAGAATGGAGAGAGAGAAGGGTGAAATTGACAGATTCCACAATATGACGGAAGAGGAACGCAGGGCGGAGCTACGCAACAGCGGCAAAGTCGTCACCAACAAAGCCTCCAAAGGCAAATACAAGTTCTTGCAGAAATACTACCACAGAGGAGCCTTCTTCATGGTGAGTCCCAGCAGACACAAGAGTCCTTTTCACGGGATTGTCACCAGGATTCATAAAAAAGCAAATTTTTAAGACAACCAAGAGATTTTCCTAAAATCTTCATTTACAGCTGCAGTGTCTTTTCTTTGACAATTATTGTGTGATAAAAACGGCGTACCCTTTCTTATAACACCTTTATTATTTAGATGTCTGTAAATGACAGGAAATCCCACCAGATTCTGAAGGAGGTGATCGTTTGTGATGGGTCACCAACAGGTTATACGTGTAGGGATTTATTGTGTGGTTTTTGTGTGTTAGGATGAGGAGGAGGATGTTTACAAGAGAGACTTCAGCGCTCCTACACTGGAGGATCACTTCAACAAAACCATCCTACCCAAAGTCATGCAGGTGAGACCCTTTCGTCTTGGGGTGCAACGAAATGAAACTTTGGGCTGATGTCGATATTGTTATGGCTGATAATCGATATTTGTCGATGCGACATATACAGGCTGACATTTATGCTTCTGAAGTCAGCAGATTTTATGGAGACTTAAAGTTATGTAAGCAGAAATTTTGGACGTCTTTCTTTTTATATATATTCAGTTAATATCGGTCCAGTTGTCCTTATCAGACCGATACCGATATGTAAAACATAGATATTGATGCCGATATGTCATGCATCCCTGCTGTTTTTTTGGACCACAGGTGGGGTTTGAAAGTTCATCTTTGGAAAAAAGATTGAATTTCTCATGACCTTTGAACTAGCTTGTCATCTAAATGTGCTTCAGTCCCGCTGTACATGTAGCCTTTGTGTGTGTCACTGGTGTGAACGTGGTAGAAATGACAGACTTTTTGTGCACATTAAGGTGACATCTCCACAATTGTAACTTATTTTCTTCCCATTAGGTCAAAAACTTTGGTCGGTCAGGACGCACAAAGTACACCCACCTGGTGGACCAGGACACCACGTCGTTCGACTCTGCGTGGGCCCAGGAGAGCACTCAGAACAGCAAGTTCTTTAAGCAGAAGGCAGCAGGCGTGAGGGACGTGTTTGACCGACCCACGGTGAAGAAGAGGAAGGCATAAGACGCCTCTTTCCAGTGAAGAGACTGAGGATGCTACTTGTGTTCTTGTGGACTTTGTTGGGGAAAAAGCAACAAAATGATTCTGCTTTGATGTTTTAACCAAAAGGATCCAAACCTGTTTAGAAATTTAAGGTTGCAGCTGAAACATTTCCTGGACAAAAGTAGACAGCCAGCTGAAACCTGCAGCTTGTGTGGAACTCTGTAAATAACCTTATTGTGATGATCAGTTTGTGGGTTCCTCGCCCATTTTGTATGAAACCGTGATGTTTCAATTAAAGATGTTTTCAGTTATTTTACACACGGGCACAAATAAACAACAAACCTTTATTTAAAACTAAAATACAAAAACGATGGAGTTGATTGAAACAACAGTTAAAACTGCTCATTGAGGAAAACAGTCCGGTGTGTTAATGTGTGTTCAGTTGGTCAGAGCCACCAGAGCCTCCACCACGTTCCCCATGTGTTCCCTCAGGCTGCGCTCTGCCACGGTGCGCGAGATTTCCATTTCACACATCTGCACAGAGATCAGAACAAATTAAAGGTTTGAACCAGCTTAAATCAGAAGTCACCTAAAATATCAAACTCGTAAGCCTTTAAAAAACACATGGAACATACCCATGGAACAAGCTTAAATACTCTGAAGCACTAACCATTACATTCATCTTGTTTCAGTATCATGTGTGGATCGATGTTTAATATTATTCTGTACAACATTTAAAAACAGCAAAAACTTACAATCAGCTCCACATCTTCTTTCTTAATGGTGACCTTCGCCAGCTCCTTCTCTCTGGAAAAGCAGCAAAATAACATGTTCTCAGTCTCATTTACCGTTTAGTTTGGAAAATACTTTTCTAAACCTAACAGAGTCAGAGGTCTTGAACTCATCTTACCTCTCCTGTTTGGCTTTCTGTTCTCGTGACCTTCGGTCTCCGATCACAGACATGGCCTGCAAAAATGTATAAAACATTGTCATAAGTTTTGTAATTACCTTTTGAGAAACATACAAAACCTCATTTTAGTTCCATTTCCTGTATTTGTTTAAAACAGCACTGATGGTACAAACATTTGCTGCCTACATAAATAAATATCATTTTGTTTCCAAGACTTTATTAAATCAGGAAAAAAAAAAGGTACACACAATGTACATTTCAAAATATCATTAGCCCTTCAGCTTCATGCCAACAGTGTTTCCTTCCACACAGACTGCTGTGAGTTAAGGGTAAATAAATCCACTTGGGTTTCATCTGTCTAAAGAACATTGTTCCAGAACGCCGTTTGTTCAGATGAAACTTCACTAAGCTAAGCTGTGATGCATTATTTTTATAGAGGTTTTCTCCTGAACTAGGCCACAGGACAAGCTGAAGATCAGTTGGGGAAAGAGAAGTCTGGCCTTCCCTCTGGGACCTGTTACCTTTACAACCTTATCTTTGATGGTTTTCTGTAGAATGATGGATAGTTGATCATCATGTCATGTCATGATGACTAGCAGCATTTACTTCTGCTGGGGCATCATTTTAGTGCTTTTTCTTCCTAGACCGTGTGTTAACACACATCTGACCTGTATGCTCCAATGCAAACACTTTCCACTTGTGATCAGTCAATAGTGTCAGCTCTCAGCTAAACTACAGTTTTAACAATTCAAAATATTTTTTTCCAATGAGTTATTCTGAACCTTATATGTCAGCATTGCCTAAAATATTGTCAAATAGTTGCCTTAAACATGTTTGACTTGATGTTTTGAACAGTTTGAGTTATAGTTTCATGCTTGGGCACATACTGGATGAAATTTGAATTAATTTTACCCCTCTTCCACTCAGATGAGTGTTTAGCTAACTCTCAAGATAGCTACCTAAATCAATTAGTATCAATCTGTTCTACCAAGTTTATTTATTTGGTTATTTTAAAGTTAGGAAACGGAAAAACACAATAATACAAAGATTGCAAGTAGAATAACCAAAAGCTGAAGATGAAGCTTCGCCTGCTGTCTCTAGCTTTTTATGCCTACCCCATATACACAAACTTCTACTTCAAATTATCATAGAAATAAATATAAAATAATGAAATAAAATGTTTTTTCTGTGTTCAATCAGAACACAGAGAAAACATAAAATGACAAAAATGTTCATTTATACAGGAAACAAACCGTTATTTGTAATTATTTAGGTCTTTAACTCTTGACAGTGAACGCATCAGCGGCCGCATGTTTCCGGGGGAGCCGTTAGCCACAGGTCTCACCGTTTCTAAATCAGAGCTGGAGATTTCCTTCTCCTCCGCGTAGTCCGTGACTCTCTCCAAATCCGCAGCTCCGCTGTCATGTTTCCGAGGCTTTTCAACCGGCTTTCCAGTGCAGTTTTCCTCGGCTTCGAGGTCCAAGTCGACGTCTCCCTCCGCTGCCATGTTAGCTTCACTGAGGTCGGAACAAAGAATAATTAAAGTAGTTGTCGGAAGGATTA